GGAGGAGGAGGAGGAGGAGGAGGATGAGGAGGGGAGGATGAGGAGGAGGAGGAGGAGGAGGAGGAGGAAGATGGGGAGGTGCAGGGCGGAGGAGGACGGAGGAGGACGGAGGGGGACGGATGATGATGATGATGATGATGATGATGATGATGATGATGATGATGATGATGATGATGATGATGATGATGATGATGATGATGATGATGATGATGATGATGATGATGATGATGATGATGATGATGATGATGATGATGATGATGATGATGATGATGATGATGGTGATGATGATGATGATGATGATGATGATGATGATGATGATGATGATGCTGATTATGGTGATGATGATGATGATGATGCTGCTGCTGCTGATGATGATGATGATGATGATGATGATGTTGATGCTGATGATGAGGACGATGATGACGACGATGATGATGCTGATGCTGATGCTGATGCTGATGCTGATGCTGATGCTGATGCTGCTGATGCTGATGATGATGGTGCTGATGCTGATGCTGCTGATGACGATCATGCTGCTGCTGATGATGATGCTGCTGATGCTGATGATGATGCTGATGATGCTGACGCTGGTGATGAAGATGACGCTGATGATGATGCTGATGATGTTGATGATGATGATGATGCTGCTGATGATGATGATGATGCTGATGATGATGGTGATGATGATGGTATGCTGCTGATTGTGATGATGATGAGCAGGAGGCAGGGGAAGAAGAGGAGGACGCCGAAGAAGAGGATGATGAGGAATGAAGGAGGAGGAGGAGGTGGAGGTGGAGGTGGATGTGGATGAGGAGGAGGAGGATGAGGAGGAGGATGAGGAGGAGGAGTGACCGAGGAGTGGCCAAGCGGGATCCAGTTCCGTCGAGGAGGGGTAGGATGATGATGATGATGCTGATGATTATGATGCTGATGATGATGATGATGCTGATGATGATGATGATGATGATGATGATGATGATGATGATGATGATGGTGATGTTGGTGATGATGATGATGATGATGATGATGATGATGATGATGAGGAGGAGGAGGAGGAGGAGGACCAGGAGGTTGAACAGAGGGAATCCAAGATGTATCAACCATGCTGCACTACACTTTCCCGTCCCAAGTCCCCTCCTCATTCAATCGCCGCTGTAGAGGACCGGCCACCTGCCACGAACCTGGCGGAGCGGTACCCAGACCCCGCGGAGGAGTGGCTGGCGTGGGTGCCGATCAAAGAAGGCTGGCCGCTTCTCTCTGTGCTCGCGCGCGCAAGGTGCCAGGCCTCCCAAGGAGAGGGTCCTCGCTGATGGGGTCGGCAGATCGGGCCGCATCGCTGATGCATCAGCGATGCGGCTGGATGCGGGGCCCGATTTTCCCCACGCCCACGGTGCCGATGCATCGTCGACGTGTTCGATATCTCGCCGATGCATCGGCGGTGCATTGACGATGCGATGCAATTCTCCGACTCATTCTGGTTGGACCCCATCTGGGAGGCTTCCAACAGGGCCACTAGCGAGGTCGGGGGGCAGCCGGGTGGAGTTTGGGGGCCTCGGTGGCCCTACTCCTCCAACTGCCCTTTCCTCTGCCCCTTCCTCTCCGATTCCACTTCGTCTGATCCTGCTCCTCCTTTACTCTGCGGCAAGCTAATTCGAGTGGGTCGTCGGTGGCCTCGCCCTCACACGAGGCCCACTGGGGGGCGGGGCAATCGCGCTCCAGGCCTCGTCCAGGCCTATTTTCGTGAGGAGGGTGGGGCAGCCTCAGAAAAGCTCGCCCCCCGTAGAAACAGCAGGGGTGACCTTTCAAGAGGGCGGGGGCTCCCTACAAACCAATGCCCCCTGGACTGCACCGTCTGGCTCCTACAATTCTCTGCGCGCTTCCAGCCTTTGTTTGGCATCACGATCCTGCCAGTTTGAACATTTTGACGTTTCGCCTGTCCTCACCAGCCAATCCAGGAACGAGGCCTAGAGGAGCTGCTCTGATCGGGGGAGCGTGGTATCATTTGGATACCTCGGGGAGCCTCGGTGAATTAGAGGTCTCTTGGATGCCTCTTGAAGTCGCGTGGGACGCCTCCTGGGGGACTCTTGGTGGCCTCTTGTGGCATCTTGGGGGCCTCTTGGGGCCTCTCCGGGGCCTCTTGGGGGCGTCTTGGCACTTCTTTTGGGGGCGTTGGAGACCCTTCTGGGTCCATCCAATGTCACACCGATCAGAGAAGAGGGGGGCTCAACACATTGCCCTGCTGGAGCCCCTAATATCGCCTCTTGGCGCCCTCTGGGAGCGCTCTCGGAACGCTCTTGTGCGCTCTTGGGGCCGTCTTGGAGCCCTCTTGGAGGCTTGGGAAGGCCATCAAAGGCGACATGACGAGACGGCACCACACATGGGTTTTCCGATGGTCGTTGGTTTTGGATGTTGGCCTCTTGGATGCGTCTTGGGGAGGATCCAGGTGCACTTGAACCCGCCTTGGAGCGGTTGTGGGGCCTATTCGAGCATCTTGGCAGCCATCTTGTGCCATTTTCGGATATTGTGACCGATCTTTGGGGAAACCTTGGGCTCTCAGATGCCCTTTTGAAGCCATTTTGGGCCATCTTGGACGCTCTGCTTTGACCGCTCGCGACCCCCGCCCCCCTCCAGACGACCCAGGAGGATGGGGTCGGGGGGAAGGGTCAAGCTACCTACAAGCCGCGCGCCGTCTCGCTTACGCCCATCCGCAACACATACGTAAGTAGCACCCGAGCCTCAGCCTGTTCAGCGGTCGTCTTTGGATCGTGGATGGACAGCTACTGGGAACTAAAACAGATCCATGTGCGCGACGCTGGGACGAGGTGCTCCATGCGTGCCAGGCGCGCCACGCGCGCCATGTGCGCCAGGCACCCCTGGGGCCCAAGCGTGCCAGGCACTGCTGGTGCGCTAGATGCGTCACGTGCTCCGCACGCGCCATGTGTGCCGCATCTTCCAGTCGCGCCAGGTGCTCCACTTTCGGGGCACGCTCACCTTTTTGCCATGTGCGCCCGCGCACATGACAGCACATATCGGGAAACATGCTCGCCCCCACCATCCTTGTCGAAAACAAATGCGCAATCGTGGCGGGGTGGCCATCATTGTGTCTGGTGGGCTGGTGGGCCTGCGCGCAGCAGGCAAGATGCTAGCACCGCCGCTGTCCCTGTCAAAAGCCAATCCAAAGGAATCGTGGGGTGGCCGCGCATGATACAGAATTTGCGGCGGCATGCAGTTCTGATTGTTTTTGACAGGGGTGGTGGCCCTGCGCGCAAGAGGCAGTATGCTGGCACCCCCGCCGTCCTTGTCAAACAAAAATACAGCGTGCTCGTGGGGCCCACAAGCATGGCCCAATATTTTGCCTCTATGTGTATCTTGTACTTTTTTTGGCAGGGTTGGTGGGGTGGTGTTGCCCTCATGGGGCCCGCGTGGGTACCGTTGGTCGCCGGTCGCTTGGGGGAGGGGCCGTTTGTTCATAAGGAGCAGTCATCACGATATTCCTCTCAGACGTACAGCGTTTGAAACCCATGCACAATCGCGGCGGAGTGGCCATCATGATGTCTGATGGACCTGCACACAGCAGGCAACACTTACGCAGGAGAAAATATTTTCCTCTTGAGGCGGAAACGGCGACGAGGAGTTCGCGAGACAAGATCGGCGCTGCCGGCCGTACGGCGTCTGGACGGGCTGTTTGCAGCAACCAGTAGGAGAGACATGTATTCATGTTGAGTCGGGCCTGCGCGCGCGGAGGGTTGATGGGAGCGCGCGAGACAGCGCAGGACCCATCCTGGGAAGTTGATCGCCGACCCTCCCTCCCTCGTAGAATCTTCACACGGGCGGGTTGTTGTTGCGGGGTCCGTGGGTCCGATTTCTTACGGTTCTCCTTTTTAACTTGAGTTTGATAGTACATGAAAGCGGGGTAGAAGTCGGACCAGTGTAAAAACAGAGGGCGGACATCGGACCCACAATATCTGAACTCAGATTCGTGCGGGTGGAAAACGGGTCCACCGAAACACAAGCCAATACCAACTTTGGACCCGCGCAAACTTAATTGCATCCGACGGCGGTTATCCCATAAGCGTCGGCTTAACACTTCAAGCTGTCGCTCTGGGCCAAAGAGGAACAATTTCCGTCCTGGGGATGTATGTCAGCACCGATCCGATATGATCGTGTGGTGGCCGCGCATGATTCAGATTTCGCTGCGAAGTGCAATTCGCATTGTTTGTGGGTGGGGATGGTGGCCTTGCGCGCGTTCGGCGAAATGCTGGCCCTCGCGCCTTCCTGTCGGTAACAAGTTGTTCGCGGGCTTCCCGAACATAATGCAAGATTTTGCCGCAACGTGCATTGTGCATTTATTGTCTTTCGACAGGGATGACCCAAGGGGGCATTGTCCCTGGTTTGTCGCCGGTCGTAATGATCAAGCTTCCACCCTTGAAGACAGTCCGCGTCTCTCACTCCCTCACGCCCTCCCACCACATAAGTAGCTTTCGCGTCTCAGCATGGGCAGGGGGGGCCATGGACCATCCCATCATCGGGAACCAATGCAAACGCCAGCCAGGTACGCGACGCCCGTGAGGTGCGCGGCGCGTGCCCAGGAATATCTTTCGTCCCTGTCAAATTGCAACATGATCGCGGGGCGCTCTCGCATGATCTATGCCGAACAGTGTTTTTAGTCGTGTTTCTTGGTTGAAAGGGATGATGGGACTGCGCGCAGCAGATAATATGCCGTTCGCCCCTAGTCCCTCTCGAAGCAATGCAACATGATTGCTTACTGCCCGCGCATGGTCCAGATTTGCCGCGGCGTGCTCTTTGTATTGTTTTTTTGTTGTCAGGGACGGTGGTGAGGGGGCCAGCGTTCCTGGTTCACCCCAGTCAGGTGGGGCAGGAGGTGTACATCAATAAGGAACAGTGATGTGGCGCTCCCCGGAGAGGAAGGCGGGGGTTGGAAGAGGAATCGCTCTGAACCGCCTACAGTGCCGTTTCAAATGCCTGCTCCGCGTGCGGATCATGCATTAAACATGCAGGGATTTGGCAGTACAAACAACGACGAGTTCATGCATAGATGTATTCATAAACTAATCAAGTAAAGTACTAAAACTCCTATATATATATTATATACATATATATATATATATATATATATATATTATTTTTTGTATTACTATTTTTCTTTTTATATATAAATATAAAAAATCCTATGGATTCAAAACTACCCTCTACGCTCTCAAGGGCTGGTGGGCTTCGGCACGAGGCCAGGGCCCTCCGCGTAGCGGTGCTCTGGCTGTATAGCTTAGGCCTCGGGCCTCCCGGTGTGTCCGCTCGGAACAGAGTCCAGCGCCCTCGGAAAAAGCTCTCGGCAGGGCGCAGGTGCTGGCGCAACGGTAGGGCTTGGCATCGCTCGGACTTTCTCGTCGAGGACCATCGAGGAGCATCCTTGAGCATTTGGCGAAACAACCACGCACGAAGCCGAAAAAAGCACAGGGAATGGACGTCCGAGCGATGGCCAGAGGGGGGATAGGCGCAGTGGGGGCATGGCTTGGCCTCCATCGCCCATCCGTTGCCGACTGGGGCATGATGGCCCGCCCGCACGGGAATCTGCGGATTCGCTACCGGGGGCTTCTTGCTGATCCGTCGGCGACGCATCGCCGATTGGAGTTCGATGACTGCCCCCTCTGAGCTGGTCCCCCTGATCGTTCCCCTTCATGGTGGGCTGTGGCCTCAGCGTTCATACACAATTTGACTTTCGAATGCACTCGGCCGCTTTGGACAGTCAGCGTGATTACACGTCGTCATTTCTTGTCGCGCCAGAGAGGGAGGATCAGAAAGAGGCGGAGGATGAGGATGAGGAGGATGAAGTTGCTACTGCTGCTGCTGCTGCTGCTGCTGATGATGATGAGTCTGATGAGGACGACGAGCAGGAGGAGAAGGAGCAGGAGGAAGAGGAGGAGGAGGAGGAGGAAGAGGAGGACGAGGAGGAACATGATGCTTCCTCAGGTGTCCTTGTTATCCCGAAGGCATCCTTGTAACAATTTTGAGCTAATTCGAACCCATGTGACCCCGTCGCAGTCGATTGCAACTCATATGGTAAAGACGAGTCCTCAGTCCCCCTCAAGCCATAGCACCTGCGGATATTGTTGGGCCCCATTCGGTCGCTATGGACATCCGCGTGAACCAAGTAGACCCCGTAGCCATACATCGTGCACACGTGTGAAGCAGGGAAATCAATGTGTTCGCATGATCCCCAGAAG